AAAGTCTCTAGCCGGAAGATCTTTTAATTCTTTTGGTAATTTATTGTAAACTTTAATTGCCATACAAAAGGTGCTTTTCCGAAACAGTTCCAGATTGATTTTCGGCACAGGCAATTTCTCACCATGTCTACTTCTTACTTCGACTTCTACATCCGACTTAAAAACATGTATGTTTCTGTGCACGAATAAGGATATTTCTAAAATATAAATACATGGAAGAGATACAATTTTGAGCTTCTTAACTATCAAGACAGTTTGCTCCACAAATTGCTCTAATACATTTTTTTTTTTAGATTGGACAATTAACACCAATTGACCTAGTCCCATGCTAAGCTGGTGAAGCTTGTGTTATGGGTACTAGGCAACGGATATACATACATATTATAGATGGATAGACATATAAATACATATTTAAACACCCAAGACCTAAGCACAACACCAAATGCTTATCACATCGATGTTTGTCTCAGCCGGGGATCGAACCCGGGACCCATGGATCCGCAGTCAGGGGTACTAACCACTAGACCAATGAGCCGTCAATTTCTTTTGAACCTTAGGTAAATACCCAATTTACTTTAAATTATCAGACTTCTACTGCATTTACCATGAATAGTGATCAGTTTCATCATCGGACGTCGAGGGAGAATACGGATGGTTATCCGTATTACCTCAACGTTCGTCGTTCCACAACTGAGCGTTTTTTAAGGCAGTGTTTGCCGCACTCTACCACTGTGGAACCAGCTGCCAACTGAAGTATTTCCGAACTAATTCGACTTAGACTCATCATGTATGTATCAGGAGGCAAACGGGCTAGAGGCTCACCTGATTTCTCCCATGATTTATAAAAAGGAATACCAAAGCCATTTTGTTGAAACTGTATTATGGAATTCAATCAATTTTTCATTTTTATCAGTAAAGGTCAAATCAAGTCTCAAGATTAAATCTATTTAAGTTTAAGAAAATATCAATTTAACATGCGTGCTAGGACCGGTTTTTTCGCAAGAATTCTGCCATAGGTTGTATAGGTATATGCAATACGATTTGTATTATGTTCCATGAACCTTGTGGTATACGTATATGCGATATTTTTTTTTAAATAAGTGTTGTTTGATGATTTACTATTTTAAAAGAGTACCGAGTTTTTTACGCCGGCTCTTTCCCTCGGCCTTCACCCTCTGTCTTCTTTGCCGATGAGTAGGGATGCCTACAGATTTAAATTTAATGACGTGGAATAAGTGATACCTGTATCTTATGTTCCATAATAAACATATTATTATTATTACTAACATCTTTTAATATAAGTAAGTCTTCTCACAGCCAAACCCTTTTTTTAAATATATATATAATCGCGAATTCAGTTAAAGTTACTTTATGACCTTACTAAAAGGCCGGCATCACACTTGCGAGCCTTCTGGACGAGTGAGTGTCCATGGGCAGCGGTATCAATTAAGGTCAGGTGAGCCTCCAGCTCATTTGCTGAAAAAAACTGTTTTACAAAAAGCTTTATTAGTCCTTTTAGCAGTCGTGAGCGAAGGGTCCGAAAAATACAGTAAAGTACTTGTTCAGATTTCATTTTGAACATCAACCAACTGCTGACATGGCTCACGTGTGTTCCAAATCTTAACAGCTGAAGAGTAATTTTAAATATATATTATTTGAACATTGAACTATTGCTGACACGGCTCACGTGGTTGTTCTAAATGTTAATAGCTGAAGGTGCGCAATTCCCCAACAGCTCACTAGAATAATATCCTGTATGTGTGAATAGGTGTAAGTAGTATTTAAGAAAATGTCTTTGAACAATAAATCAGATTTCAATATTGCTGTCTTGTTCATTTCTTGCTTCCTCTCAAAGTGTCGAAGACGAGAGCTCTTGATTATCGTGGTGACACCCAATAACTTTGAGATAATCCCACCTTGGACTTCTGATTCTACCAAACTTCCGTCTGTTCCTTTAGGTTTCCTGGTGCAGACATCCCGTACTTATTTATATATTCACTATTTATGTGTTAGGGTACGTCTGTAGGGCTTAGGGATCCGTGGGGTTGTTAGTTTCTTACATCTCACCCTCTCAAATATTTAGTTATCTAGTGCAGCTTGCTCATACATACACTACATATACTATACTACATACATATTATATAACATATATACTCCTGACATTTAATACATATAAATTAAAACACACATTTCATGGACTGGCAAGTTGTACAGTATTCGAAGCATCGAGTTAAAATCAATGTGATGTGAAGAAGAATAATTACTTAATTTCTTTACCTTAAAGAAATTTCATTTAAACATGAGGATAGAGAGAGCGATATACATACTCTAGTATGTATATCGCTTGATTCTCAATCCCGAATTCAAACCTCGGATTTGTACCAATTTAGTTCTTTGCTGTATTGTAAATATACGCTCTTCATTGGAGATCATACTAGCGAGAAGATTATAATGATTGTTAATAAAGTATACTGCCCATTTTTCATGAATAATTCCTCAGTCTTATTCTTAAATTTAAAATATTAATTTTGAGTATAGTTATGAACAACATTACATACAGACCATTGAGTTACCCACTCAATAGTCAACATAGGCTACTTATATTTTAACAACATTCGCTGCCAAAGTATAATTTAATTCTATAGAAACGATCACGAGGTGCAATATCTATCTTTTTGGATCTAAAAATTACAGTAATACGGAATTTTGTTGAGCAGAGTTAATAAAGTTAATTTACGCTATACGCATGCTAAAATGCCTTACAAATATTTCTAGCAATTTCTGTCGACCATCGTTTATGGCAATGAGTAACCTTGTATAAAAAGTTTTAGGTGAAGCTAAGAAAAGCGTATCAAAAATACCATTCCGCTTCTAACGAGGACATTTTAATCAGTTTTCTTGTACTGTTCTATTTACGTCACGCGATTGCGTGTATTTCATAGAAATACTACATATTTATCGGTTTTCTCAATAAATAGACCAGTGCAATGCAACGGTGCAATTAATACTTACTGTATCCATAATGATGCGTAGAGAATAACTTATGCCAATAACAATTTTAGTTTATAAATTAATAACGTAACTTTGTATTTAATTTTGTTTTAAGAAACATACAATTCAAACCAAAATATCGTTTATAGGTAACACAATACACTTATGAAGGTCTTTAAAAAAAAGTTTTTCTTAATTTACATTCCCTGCCAGTTCTCAAATCCAGGCTTAGAACGAGAAATACTGGCAATAGAAAACAATCATCATTAATAATTACACCATGCTCCTCAAGACATCTTGCAACAATGATTATATGTATTTTCATAAGAAATATTGCATAGTATGCTTCTCTAAGCCTTTCCTTTTGCTAACTCACCAGCTGTGAAATATGCTGCCAGTGGAGGTCTTCTATAGGAGATTACTTCAACTAATAAAATAAGAGTAGATATATTTTTGATTAGTTAATAGAAAAATATCTTCTTATTCCTTTGGGCCGGCCGGGAGAAGCCCAAAAAGGCAATGTGGGTGAATGGGCCTTTTGGGATTCCATGGGCTGCGGTAGTTCAGTTTTAAGGCTGTGGAACAGCTCGTTTGCCCTTATATAATATAAACAATACTATCTTGTTAATTTCATTCACAATATTTCAGACGATTTTTTTCATTCTAATGCTAAATTAGAGTATTTTTGTTAGGTCCTGTTAAAAGGGCCATTCTTGTTCAAGTTATAATGTATCTTCCTTTTTGTTGTCATAGTAATTAATACAAAAAGGAAATTTACTCCTAAATTATTTTTTTCAGGAAAGAATTGTTCTTTGTATCAAACATTTGTACGAAAAGTATTGCTGTGGTGGTTGGACATGCGAAGAATTGCAAAGAAATGTTTTGAGTTTCAAAAACCTTGGGTCTTTCAAAAGTGTATTCATACTTATCTTACGTGTATTATAATAATTTCTTATCTAAATCTTGTATAGATTTTTAATATAAAATGTGAATCGTGTCTCTAAGAGATCTCTTAAGCGATAGGGCATTGTTGTGCCCCGTTGCATCGTTTGTTTTAATATTAAAATACTAAACAATTTTTTTTAAATATTTGTTTATTATATAGACACAAACACTATAAACCTTAAAAACTAACATCGAAATTCTTATGACTCAAACCTCAAGGGCTTGAGACTAAATCACTTTTCGACACACGTGATCCACAACAGGAATGAAATTATCTAAACATTTGTCTCGTGACCGTTTTCATACAAATACGTTTGTCATTAGTGGGTCAGGTTGTCGAAGAATGATTTTGTCCCAAGCCCCAGGACGCATTAAAACCGATTGTATTTGGTACAATTTAACGATACAACAATCGCTATCACAATTATAAAACTGAGTTAGTATATTCCGTTCTTACGGGTTTTACGAAAAACCTAATAAAATTTTGGTCCATAATTATATTTTGAACATTTTGTATTTTCTTGTATTTTTTTCGAGAATCAAACTAGCTGAGTGTCAGCATTTCCCCATGTTTGGTAATAAAATATACTAAAAATATATGCCATGAAAAGACGAAACTAGTTCTTACATATTAGGTTTTTATTGGTCTGGTCATTACCACGAGGTTTAAATGGGACATTGTCTAATTGCTAGATTGATCCTTTTTATTTTTGTTGTATAGAAAAACGAGATCAAATAATAGTAATTTATAATTATATATGGGCCATGAGGCACATATCTAGATTCTGAGATATTATTTAAGATAATCTTGAGGATAAATAAACTAACCAAGCCCTAAAAAAGAGAAAAAAAAAATCTTTCTATACAAAAATAAACAAATATATTGCCAGTGCATAAATTTCTGAATAAATAAAGAATATAATTTGTATAACATTTGACTGAATTGTTGATTTAAGATTTGTTCTAACCAAACTAATGGGTGACGCATTAATCCAATGAATCTTAAAATCAATTGCATTTATATTTAAACAATAATTTCAGAGTTATCCGATTGATGGTTATGGTTAACGCGGTGTTGGCCCACCCCACCAACGAAGGCAGGAAGGCTCTACTGAGCGAACTCGGCCTGCACGGCGAGTCGCTTCTTCCAAAACATCCTGCGAATCAAGGAAAATAAATAAATCAGTGGCGCTACAACCTTTTCGCTCTGGGGTCATTTTTGAATCTGTTTCATGCTCATTTGTCAATCTGATAGGCAGGTAGGTGATCACCCTCTTGTGCCTTATGGCTCACACACGCCGTCGACTTTTTGGGCAAGGTTTTCACCGTTCGAGCGATTGTTAAATGCACTGAGAAAGAAAGTCCATTTGTGCACAGCCGGGGATCGAACCTACGACTTGAGGGATGGAAGTCGCACGCTGAAGCCACTAGGCCAACACTGCTGTATATTACTTTTAAAAGGAAAAACAAATGTAACATGTAAGAATTCAGAATCGAACTGTATCAGGCTCTTCTCGGTTAATATGACAGACATATTATGTCAAATCCGATACAATTTTGACGTAACGAGACTTGAGAGGGCGATGTTGTTTTATACTATGTAAAGGCGTATTCATGTATCGTGTGGGTAATAAGTTAATTTTTTTTATTTAACAACGGGCAGAACCTGATGTTAAGTGATAACCGCCACCCATGGACATTGCCAGTACTTGAAAGTGCGTCGCCGGAATTAAGAATTGGTACGCTCTTTTATTGAAAGACCCTTTGGTCAGTTGAGTTCAGTTCGTTTCCGAAATACATCAGTGGGTATCTTAACCAGATTTGTATATTTCTTTTATATACCTTAAATATTTCTCGTTTCGATGTTTTGCGAATACATAAAGCAAATAATGATTTCTCTTTAAATATTGTATTATTTTGTCATATTCTAAATATTTCTCATAATTTACATAATTTAACCAAATTCCATATGGTTATTATATAAGCATTCAAATTTAGACTGCCGTATACAGCCATTTTGGCTTTACACAAATCATTATAATTTTCAGTAGATAAAAGCTTTTACTGTAAATTATCAAGCAATTGTATTCAAAATCGGCGTCAACAGATAAATTTTATTTTTGATTCAGTAATGAATATGTTATACATATCTAAATGAACGTAAGATAACCAACCTGCTTCTTCAAGACAATATGCTTGCCTTTCCAATACTTCATTAGACCTCGTTCTTGCAAAGTTGAGACTATATCAGATGAGGATATAGCCAAGTCCTTGCTGAGTTCGCGTATACCCAGGGTCGGTCCTGGAGCTGAACATAATCGTTTGAGGATCGCCTCCTTCCAGTAAGATCTGTAGGAGATGAGACCGAGGTCCGATAGCGGTGTTTCTGGAGATCCGACTTTTCCTTCTTCCTTTGTTAGTAGGTAACCTAGTAACACAAATTGTACGTTTAAATCATGTAACAAATATATATATATATATATATATATATATATATTATATATATTTTAATTGTAATAAGTATGTTGTTAAGATTTAAAAATATATATAACGCTCCTCTATCACAATTATTTGCTTGTGATAGAGGAGTTCCTTTTAGCAATTTCGTTAGATTTGATGCATCACATTCTATGAAATAAATTGAACATTATAGGTCCGGACTCCGGACCTAACAAATGATTTCACCCTTAATAATTATTTATATACACTTCGTTTCGTTTATAGAAAAACAAATAACATAATACATAAAAATTTAAGGGATGCAACGGGCGGCTATATCGCTAACAAGCGGCCTCCTTCAGGCAAGTAAGGAAAAACTAAAAAAGAAATATGATGGGTAAAGTGCAAGAAGTGCATAACCAAATCTTATAAAAAATAATAGAATGACCAACCTTTCTAATCTAATTAATACAAAAAGAAAAAAAGAAAAAACTAAGCTAATCTCACGTATTCATGAATTGTGATGCAATACAAAAGAATAAGAAATACAAGAATTACAAAAGTCACAATTGAGCAGAAATATTTCGCAATAATTAGTGTTAACTGAAAAAAAATATCTACAGCCGGCTTCCACTGGAACAGCCACAATTTTACTTCAATGCCATTGCAACTCAGTTTCTCCAGGTGTAACAAAGTACCTATTGAATAAAATAACGCCTGAAACCTGAATTAAGTGTAGTAAAAATAAGTGAAAGCCGATTGAATAGTTATTTAAGTTATACACCGTGTTCCGCACGCAATGACATTGGAAAGCAAAAATTTCAACAGAAGCCAACACGCTAAATACTTTCACATTGTTACAGTGCCCTTTCACTCATTACCAAAATACATTTTAACGTATAACGTTTATAATTATCACGTAATATAAATAAAGTTTTTATTAAACTTCATAATAAAATTATGTTTTTTTTTGAGTCGGACGCTCACCTGATGTTAAGTGATACCGCCGCCCATGGACACTCTCAATGCCAGAGGGCTCGAAAGTGCGTTGCCGGCATTTTAAGAATTGGTACGCTTTTGTGGTAATATGAATTATGGTGCTGACTATGCAGATTTTTCTGATCTGAATTATCAAAATTTACGTGTTCCTATGATGTCCTCAACGTTGAGATCATCACCAAAAAATTATAGATATATATATATATATATATATATAGATATATCAACTTGCTGATAGTGGTGGGCTCACTAAATCCCGGCTGTGTGTGTTAACGCGAAAATCACACACGATAGTATGGTATACAGAATCGAAAAAATGTTTTTAAGCACGAAATTCGCTATCTGTTAATTACATATCGCGATTTCAGACGTAACGCTGGCCATCAAAATTCCTCGCATCTACAATTATTCGTGAGGTCCTGTGCCGTCTAGACAGTAGACAGCCGATCCATACTGCAGTGCATCGATCGGGGTTAACGGCCCGTCGCGACGAACCCCCGCGGCCCAAAACATGCCCCTCGCCTTACGATGTTGACCGTTCAGGTGCAATCGTAATTATTTCGAATCGCTATTTACTTCTGCATATATGTAGATGGCGTTGATGCAAATTTCAGTAGTTCATCAAGATTGAACTGATGGTTAATGTAGAAGACTGAGTGTGTTTTGTTGACGCGTATTAAATATAATTGTGGTTTGAATTCAGTCCAGTCAGAAGATTACAAATTAAAACAAAAATGAAAGTTATTCCAATATATAAGGGCGACCAGTGTTAAAATTTTATCTTGCTTTGTAGATTATTCTTCTTCTTCTACTGTCATCTCCTTTCGAAGGTTGGCGATCATCATGGCTTTGACCAAACCATCGTCTAAGATTCTGCCACTATGCCTTGTTTGACGTAAGATGTGTCCGAAATATTCGACATTTCTTTTCTTAACTGTCATAAGCACTTCTTTATTCTTCTGTATTTTGTCCAGCACGGTTGTATTTCGTATGGGGTCTGTCCAAGATATTTTAAGCATTCGTCTATAAACCCAGATCTCAAACGCTTCCAGTTTTTGGACAAAGTCATATAGAACATAGTAAATGAGATTACTTTTCTTCAGTTGTGTCTGAAGCGACGTGTACATATATTCCTTATACAATGATAATTTGCTTTTAACAATAAATTAATAATCGAAATCTTGTTATAAATAAAGTTGGCCGAGGCCTAGTGGCTTAAACGTGCGACTGTCGTTGTAGGTCGAACCCCGACTTCAAATTTAGACAGATACTCCAAAATCAAGGGTTGTAGCATTTCTATTTTTGTTTATTTAATCGATAAGTATACTTACTGAAATCTATCAGAAGCCTTCCGTAGCCTTGTCTTTGGTAAGGCGGCAAGGTGAGAATACACGATACGTTGTAGTTGAGAAACGAGTTCTTTTCCTGATAACAATGAATTTGTTATAATTTATTTATTTATTAAAGTTTACCACACCATACATAGTACTAATTCTACGGCATATTTTACAAACTCTTCCATCTAAAATGTATGACAATTGAAGTTAACATAAGTGTTACAATTTTTTTTTAATACTATTAAAATATATTCAAGATATAATAAGCATACCATAAAATTACTAGAAATTTTGGTAAAGCAAAAAAAATTATCATCAGCAAAACAGCGAATTAGGTTCGAGATAGGCACCAACAATGCTTTCTCTAAAACCAATCAGCCCACTACCGAATATATCGGGCTCCGGATAAGCACCGTTTAATCCGTTAAAATCGCGAAAGATTCGAAAGAGAGGTGCCTGAACTCCTAGGTTGGTTTTTGCAGAAGGAATTTGGAAAATATTGCTGATTTTAGACCTAGGGAATGAGTAAGGGACGATAATTTCAATATCCTGTAAGAGTTCACTGCTCTGTATATGATTATTAAGCAATTTATATAAGAAGGTAACACCGGCTACAGTTCTCCAATCACACAATGATATATTCAATTTTTAAACTCTAACGTGCAAAATTAATATTTCTAAACGTAAAAGTATTTTGTCCCAGGTGGACTATTTGTGTTCTTATAAAAAATAACACAAGTTCTAGACTACATTACAACTGTACGGGCGGATAATACGCCATGATAAAAATGTTTGACTACCAACATGAATTTGATATTGGGCGGAGAACCATTGTACGAATGAGACAATGGTTGCCATCCAAAAAGACATAAATATGCCCGCTAATCCTACCTACCTTTTCTCTTTTTGACCTGTTTGAATTGACCTGAATGATATTGTGTGATGTAAATACGTATTGCCTATAAAACATATTTTTCATAAAAAAAAATATGTTTATTATGGAACATAACATACATGTATCACTTATTCCACGTCATTAAATTTGAATTTGTAGGCATCCCTACTCATCGGCAAAGAAGACAGAGGGTGTGGGCCGAGAGAAGAAGCCGGCGTAAAAAACTCTCGGTACTCTTTTAAAATCCATGATTCTCGTACGTTACTGATTACATATAATAATATCCAAATTTCAAAATCGCATTCAATGTTAAGTATCGGAAAAATGAACACATTATGACTTAACTAAATTTAAAGCAGTCTAGAAATAATTCAAAATCAGAGTTCAAAGCCTTAACCCACCCCAATCTTAAGCGGTCTAGACGACCCTAAGAATGTGCAAAAGAACTTTCCAATTTCGATCGTGCCCGCGGGACGGGCGCGGCTGCTTTAATGACGCGAGCGACATGGAACACTAAGAACAATATGCTGGCAAGGTGCACAATTATTAAATTGTTATTATTCGTAATAATTAAGGGAATGTAAAAAAAAGTGCGTGCGTACAAAGTACACATGTCAGAAGTGAAAATTCTTTGGCAAACTAATTTTTAAGTCTTGTTTATATTTATACAAATCTAAAACTATAGATTTCCTAGACTTACAGGGAGGGGAAAAGGTTAGGAATTTAATGAATTTAATTGTCATTAAAATATTAAGTGTCACAAATTAAAACAAATTATAAACTTAATTTTTTTAATTTATTTCTTCGACAATAAAAACACGTGGCATTTACAATTCGTCATTTGGGATTTCAATAAATTATTTTGCATAAAATATAAAATACTAATATTTCATAAATTCTCTTTACGAAATTTTAATTTAAAAAAAATTTATTTCTATAAGGTAATTCGCCCTTCTCAGTCTCTCTCAATCGGTCTCAATCCCTTTTCTTCGACAAAAACGCTGGACATCTTCGTGACGCTAATATTATTATTGTTGGGTTGCATCCGTAAAAATTTTACCCTCATGCGCCTAAAGAAGTTTCACTTCAATAAATTATTTTATTTTATAGAAAGTAATATATATCCTCATAGACAAAAGCAAGCCTTCGTTAATTTTAAGTATTTAGTCGTCTGTAGGAGTAACCGAATAAGAATGATTATTATTAATATCGTTCTTATTCGGTTACTGTTGCGTGTTGTTCCCACGACAATGTACAGTGCGTGCTCCTATTTCTCTTTCTCTTTCTACTGCTGATAGAGGACAAATCTTTGTTTTTATTTTTTATTATTAATTACTTAAGATGTCATGTGGAACATTGGGGATTAAACAGAGTGGCGAAGAGTTTATTGCCAGTTCTTCTCGTCCGTTCTACGCCCTTGATTTGAGAACTGGCAGTAAATGTAAAATTAGAAGCAATGAATATGAAGCAAAGAATATGATACGAGCGTAGGCATAACAATCAAAATCCAAATCCCCGCTTGTCATATAAGAGACCTTTTTTATTGTACCATACCAACGAACCCGACAAGCAGACGTCTGGATTTATTGCGTTACGCATTCGTCTAAAGTCTAGACGGCCCGTGTTTACATCCGCGATGTGGGGTGTAATGTACCCCTGCTTAGGTGCGGTTTGGGATATGAGCTAGCTGCATTGTCGCATTAATTCAAGGGGTTGAATAATTTTAGTATTGTCTTGTACTCAACAAATGTATAACCAAAAAACTAACAAAATGAAAAACCCAAAAGTACTTAAAAGCTTCATCATCGTCATCGTGCTCGATATAAATGCTACGTCAAATTTTTCTAAATTTAAATAAAGCTTAATTTAATTTCTTAGATTTCTTTTTTAGAAATAACAATGTAATACATATTTGAATTATATCTTTTCAAAAGCCATATGTGAAATTCGGTCCACCTGTTTCCAATTTTTCAAGGCATAACTCGAATAACGCTTTATTAAAAATATTATTTTCACACAATTTCGCAATGCTATACAAAGCACAATACATTTCCAAATTTAGCATCAGGTGAATAATCCTATCCTCATTGAAATATATTTAAGTCATTTGAAAGCCTTTTACGAATTACTAGTAAAATAATTAATAATTTTAAGATTTAATTACATAACACAACTATAGTGAGGGATGATCGCAACAATCACAAAAAACCTTACATTACCCTAATCGTTTATACATTTAGCAGGTAATAAACGTTAGCAAACATATCAAAGTTTCAACATAACATCCGGGGATGCGGGGTCGTTGACCCGGACAGACGCTGTCTCGCCGTTCGTCTGTCTACAAATATATATATAAAACACATAAGATTTATTGATTTTTAATGTTTCGTCTGAGTTCTTTGTTTTGGCAATTTTAAGTCTTGAAAGGCGACGCTAAAGACGCTCTTGTACAGATTTCAATAACTAATGGGGAGTCTTGGCAACGGTGCTGCAAATTCTATACGAAATCGACTACAGGACGACTAGGTACAACCTGACACACTACAAATATGAATTCATAGTCAATTGTGTTTAGAAATATACGTACAAAGACACTGATAAAAACATTAGTATAAAAAGCACCTTCTATGTACGACCTGCCTTATAGGTATATAGAGTATAAATACAAAAGAAGTAATATAGTTACTAATGCAATTTTGAATCTAACTGCTAGAAAAACGATAAAAAATAATATTAATTAATTAAAAAAATCGTTAAATTGTCTAGCCGTTCATATTCCTACAAGTACCGCTACGGCATTCGTAGACCGTCTACGTTTACGTTGTAAGCGTAGCGCTACGACACTACACCGTAGCCACTTCGCGTAAATGAGTGGCGAGCGCGAAACAATTTAAATTCTACCTTGCGCCAAAGCAAATAACGTTTCAATTCTATAAAATATTCTGTGAATAATAGAAATAGGGGTAGTTTTAATTGTATACTCGATAGATGTAGTTTCAATGGATCAGTGTGTAATGTAGTTTAATTATTAACGAAGTCTAAATTGGATTCGCGACGGTGATTTTAGTTTTATTTAAAGGCAGAATGAAAGGTAACGAAATGATTTCAATTCGAACTCATTTTTCAATGGGTTTTATAACGAAAGGGAACGAGTGATTTAAATTAAAAAATAAGAAATATTGGCTCACAACTAAATTATAAGTATTGATAAAAACTTGCAAAAAGACGGTTGAAGAGGCCTGATTGGTTTCAGGATGTAAATTCTAAGTTCTAACAGAAAAATAAGCTAATTTAGTTTTTTCACTACCACACTTGATTCTACAAATTGAGTTAGGCCCTGCAGGTGATTTCAAAGCACGCAATTTCCAAACAACCCTGACTTTAATATAGCACAAAAACCCCTTCATTCTGTTAATATCGGCTGAAGGGTGCCTTACGAGTTCAAAAATTGTTTACACTTCACTTTGATCCCGACTCGATAGTACTTGTGGCTTTGACGACTTTTGGACGACCGTCTACTGTTTTTTTAAAGAGCTTTAGTCGCGTCAGGTGATTTACACAAAACGCACAACTTGTGTGTATCAAATCGCCATTTGTGTTTGTAAGTAACACACAGTGTGTCATGGTTCGTTTCAAACAATAGATGTTTCGAGTTACAGCCAGGTACAAATAAATGCATTAGTGTTTCTTTTTTTGTATATTATATAAACTATATTGATGTATTTCGTAATTGTTTAGCTAGAAAAAAATTATTTACAAAAACAAACAATTTCACTAAAAATATAGCCAACGATGGAATAAATAATATTTACAAAAAGGTTCAAACATTTACAAAAGGTAAAAAACAATAAAAATTATTCAATACATTTAACTAAGTAATACCTAATTTGGATGTGATGTGTGAAGGGATGCAATTATGCATGTAATAATGCGCCATGGATATTCCTAATACTCAATTTAACTTTATTCCGCGATAGCTTAAACAAGTTAAATATTGGTCGTTGTATGTCTATAGGAACTATAATATATATTCTTGTTAGACTAGAATCGCTAATTGGTTATATATAATCGTGTATTTAAAGCTCAAATCTTTAGGTTCTCTCCGCCATCTCAATGTGAATGCTCTCGTAGTATCACGATAACTATAGCAAAACGGCTAGACAGATCTATTGATTCGATTTATTTTGGACATT